GCTGTCCTCTGAAGATGCCAGCCACAGAGACTGGCGAAACGTTAGGAAGAACAACCTTCAGAACACGGCCAAGAAGCTCGAAAAACCCACAACAACCAAAAAGTCTGAATAGTCAAAGCTATGGTTTTTCCTGTCGTGATGTATGGAAGTGAGAGCTGGACGATAAAGAAAGCAGACCGAGGAAGTAGTGATGCTTTTGAATTGTGGTGCTGGAGGAGGCTCTTGAGAGTCCCCTGGACTGCAAGGAGAACAAACCTATCAATTCTAAAGGAAATCAACCCTGAGTGCTCACTGGAAGGACAGATCCTGAAGCTGAGGCTCCAGTACTTTGGCCATCTCATGAGAAGACTCATTGGAAAAGACCTTGATTTTAGGAAAGTGTGACGGCAAGAGGAGAAGGGGACGACAGAGGATGAGATGGCTGGACAGTGTCTGCAAAGCAACCAACATGAATTTGAAACTCTGCAAGGAGGCAGTGGAAAATAGGAGGGCCTGGCGTGCTCTGGTCCATGGGGTCACGAAGAGTCAGACACGACTAAACGACTAAACGACTAAACGACGACAATGACTTGGTTGAAACTAATGTGTATAAGGAAGTGGGACATGTGTATTTAATGGAAGGTCTGCTAGCTGCCTTCTCCCTCCTACCAAGGCAGGCAGAAATGTTAAAAAAATTCCGTTCCTCTGATAAGGGACAAGGTTCATTATTAGAGAGAGGCATGAATAAAAAAAATCAATCACCAAATTCATTCAATAATTGCTAATTTGTCGATTTGTATTTGTACGAACCAATGCCCCAATGAATCCAAATTAATTGATTTTTAGTGATTTTTGATTTGTCAATTTGTTTGGCTATAAAATGCCCCTGCAGCACCAAGAGGCACCAAAATTGCAGAGAAGCTTCCCCTGACTCTCCTCTACAATACCTCCATGTTTGGTGAAGATTGGGTTTCAGATGTCCAGGTTATACATCCACAAAGGGGGGCTCCCCGGGAAATTCCCCTCAGGCACCTAGGGACATCAAAATCACTGAGAATCTTCTACTGAATTGTCTCCCCTGCAATCCCTTCAAGTCTGATGAAGACTGGCTTTCCCCAAGCCAGCTACAAAAGGACACTTTGCTGGGGGGATCCACTTTGTGGGTGTATAACTTGGATGTCTGAAACCCAAACTTCACCAAACTTGGAGGGCTTATAGAGGAGAGTCAGTAGAAGATTCTCTATGATCTTGGTGTCTCTAGGTTTCTGGAGGAACTTTCCTGGGGTGCCCTTGTGATTGTATCTTAGATGTCCAAAACCAAAACTTCACCAAACCAGCCGATCTTGTAGCAGAGAGTCAGGGGAAGTTTCCCTTTGAATTTGGCATCTCTGGGTACTTTGGGGGGCTTTTTATAGGGTTTTAAATTAAAAGATGAATGAACAAATTGGTTAGTAGATTCATCAGAAAAAAATCATAAATTCGTAATTCATGATTTGTCAACCTTGATGAATCGCAAATTAAAACAAATCACTGCTTTTCTGATTTGTGCCCATCTCTAGTCATTATCACTCCCCTTCAATGCAATCCATTTTCACACATAACAAGCAGGTGAGGGGAGGTGAAACCATCATATGAGTGCCCATAAATAACATTTCATTATGGTCTAAAAAGAAATTGACTCCTTTCTGCTCAAGTCTGTGCCAAGGAAAGCATTCACTTTGGCATGTTTTCAACAAATGCCTCCTACCATTTTCAACTGGGGCACCCAATGGTGTCTCACAGACTTCATCTTATTACTTTATGTGTGGAGAGGTATGACCCCCCCCCGATTGGCTGTTGCGGCAACTAATAGTACTTCCTCTTCCTTATTTTGCTCCATGAAACCAGGTGAGCATTAACTAAAACCAACAGGATTTATTGAAACAGAACACAAGTCTATAACTGGTTTAACATCAAACAACGTAGAACGGTTTTTGACAACTCCTTGGTTACCCTCAAAACCAAATTAATTGTTGTTATTCTTCACCCTCTTCCTCCAGTTTAGTGATGGTCTCTTTGGTTGGGTCCTGGTAGGTGGGTCAGTCCTTGATGGGCCCCAGCAAAGATGGTCGCGACAATGAGGCGTTATATAATTTTGGGGTGACAGCTTTGGTAAATCAGTGGCATTACAGAGCTGGGTGTGGTGGAGAAAAACACATTTTTAAAAAAATCAGTGGTCAGATATGCAGGCCAGGTTCCCTCGTTGAAAGCAGGTTTCAAAATGGAGGCTGCTGAATCCGCCTAGAGGTTGAAGCTTTCAGATTTCACCTCTGGCAGTGTGGAATGGAATATCCCAAACTTGTTAGACAAAGAGCTGCCAGTCATCCTCTCACCACTGCTGTTCTTACTAGTGCTTAATGTGAGTTGCTGACAGATGACTGTGGATTGGGAGAGGTATGGGACCTTATTTGATCTGCCCTATCAAGATCTACAAACCTCAGAGTTCCTTATATCAGAATACATATTATTTTTAAAGGCATACAGTACACTAAATCAGGGACTCTGAGAATATTAATTCTGCAGAAGTCACTGCTTGTAGGATTTATAGGCCCCAGAGCCTATATGAGAAAATCAGCTAGGCTTTTAGCTCCTAAAATTAATAGGAAAATGGTACAACACCTCAGGCATCAAATTACTTTTGTCTGCAACATGTAAATCATAATGCTTTATCTAGGATTATGGCTGTGCAAGAGTGCAGCAATGGTATTGTGCAGCAAATCAAATCAACATTCTACAAGGCAATTCTGAAAATGGGGGCAGCCCAAACAAAGAAAGAAACAATCCTTTGAGCCTGATCAGCATCAAATCTGGCACAGGTGTAGTAGACAGTCTGCTTTTGCTCTGGGCCAGGTTTGGGGAAGTTTGGGCAAAAGGTTATGATTTTTAAATAAATAAAACTGTTTTACCCCCATTCAGAAATAGGTAATCCCAAATGACCGCCAATTAAAAGCAGATCACATGAATTGAAAAGACCAGTCTTGCTTACCGTGAAAGAGAATGGTTGGCCCCAAAAAGGCATTTCAAAAGCAATAGACAGATGCTATGTTGTAACACTGAGTGTAGGTGGTACAGGCTTACCAGCAGGTGCTTCACAAAATGAACCATTGTGTAAATACTGCATGTAGGTGGGGAGAGAGATGCTTGAAGAGTTGTAGGACAATTAAAGGTCACAGAAACAGACTGAAAAGACAGGTGTTCTGTAAAGAGTTTTTTTAAAAGCCCACCAGGTTTGCTTTAAAGAAAGTAATGAAATGATGGTCCTCCAGAAAGGAGATTTTACCATGTATGTTCATGGGATAAGCATAACATTTAAGGCATATTATTTGTGAATGGTACTGTGCACAAGAGGGAATCCCATAGACTATCTTGACTGCTGTCACAGGTATTGTCAACTTTCAGGCTGTCCTTTGATGTGTAAATCTTGACATCTTTTTTTCCTGCTGACAAAACTGGCACGATACTGTGCAGCAATATTAGGTCATTTCCTGGCATTTTGAATCATGTATACAGAAGCAAAATATTTGAAATTCATAAACCAGAGGTTTTTTGAATTGGATAAATGTCTGAAATGCAAAAGACATAAATGAAGAGATTTAGAGACATTAAAAATACATCTTCCAAAAGGGTGAGGCAGCTCAAAAGAGGCCCAAAGCAGCATGTCACCATGCAGTATCTCATTTGCATGTCAGCACTTTCATTACCTTTCAAGATGCTATGGAGAGCATGACCTCACAGTATAGTCAACAGGACACCAAGACAGTCCTCTCTCCTCCCCATGTGCTTTTTGTAATATTTTTTCCATGCTGAAGAAGTCAGGAGATCATGAAAATCCTGCATGTGTTCAGGTGCTCCTTCAGATGGTGAAATATACATAGGGCAGCTATGGCTTCTGGAACACATTCTCCAGTTTTTTCCCCCCAGAGAAAAACAGACTTTTCATGGAGAGCGTGAGGCTTAGCATCGATGATACATACGATGGGGCAGAGAGCAGAACTCTGGGCTCTCACGCCCAGCGTGTATCCCAAAACTTATCTTGGGCAAAAGGATTTGCAGAAAGGGTTTTGCAGTGGAAAGAAATGGGAAGGTAATGAAAATAACATCTGGAAATTTTCATATGATGTTCTTGATTGTTTATAGAAAAACAGCACACATTTTTATATTAAAAAATTTATTGAGATGATGTAATTACAAGCATTTAAAAATTATTTGCAACTCACTGGCCCTGAGAAGAGGCATTCTTGTTTGCTTTGTTACATTCATTCAGTTCAGTCCCTTAACCCCACACCTTGAAGAAAAAAAAAGGAAGAACCATCATCAACAGACTATAATTTACTTAAGAAAATAAAAAGTTGTTTTAAAAAAAAACGCACGCCCCCATTTCATCCCTAATTTGCATAAGGCTACAGCCATTTAAAAAGAAATGGAAAAGAAATACATCGCCAGGCCTTATATGAATTCAGGGTTGCTTTCAATGCTCTGTTTGTACGTGAAATCTCAAGATTACTTCTTAAGGTAGGGTCCAACACTTTAAGTCTGTAAACGTCAAAGGCAGATTTCCCATTAGTTCTACCACTGGCTGTCATTTATTGCTGCTAATGGGTTGAGCATCATGACAGGAGGAAACAGAAACTAGATTCACCCTTGTCATTTTCACTGGCAGCTCCGTGTTTCTCAGTCTCCCCCTAGCTTTGCCCCAAAGAAACAAGAACTCAGACTTGGTTCCTGAATATGAAAAAACAAACTGTTCCAGTTGCACTTTTTCATCTCGTTCTTCAATTGCTACCAAATGAAATGCTTTTTCCCACAGCTACCATCATCAATGAAACTGCTTCTGGCCAGTTCTGTGACCGCACAGTTAATCCACTACATTTGCCCATGCAGTCTGCACTGCTCGCAGGGATAGAAATCCTACTGCAGGAACCTGCTCCTACCTTTTTATCCTTGTAGAACTGTAGCCTTCTGTAATATGGGGCAGATAACATGCACTTGCCCTAGCCTAAAGGACAACACGGGCTATTTCCGCCTCCCCAAACCTGGGATTGTCTGCCAGCTACAAATGACGTAGGAAGTTGCAAAACATTAACTGCAAATTCAGAAATGGTTAAGCAGAATTTGTCTTCTACAAGTGTCTAAAGCATTTACTTTGAAAGCTGCAAAGCTAACAATGGAAAGGACTCAAAGCTCATTAGAAATTATTTTATAAGACATGTTGTTCATGCTGCTTCATCTGTACCTACCCGGGAAGCAGCAGCTCTGCTGAGACTTCTCTAAACTGGGCCTGAATGCCAACCATCTCTTGGACAATGTGTACTGGCTATTTAATCAGCCAATGCATAAGTAACAGACAGGTTAAGGAAGGATCAGTAGCTATGGGGGCTTTTGGGCAAAAGAAAGCAGGGGCAGGCAGATCCATTGGGAAAAGCCCAAAGCAAAGGGTGAAAATTCAAACATGCATAAAAATGGAAGTTTTACAATTGTGCAAAATGTAAGAAGTTTCTTTTTCTCAGTAGAATACCTGATTTCATTAGTATACATTTGCTAGGAATCAAAATCCTTGGAACAGGACTCTGCTAATTTTTGTGTGAATTATGTGAAAGCCTATTAAGCAGTGAGTGACTTTTATGAACACTGGCTAATATATCAACCAATGGCTTGGGCTGTCCGCAGTTACATATCATTACACCATGTAGATTAAAAAATAATGAAGTGCAACATCTTGAGAATGCGAAGGTTAACTCTCCTTTTTTAAAACAACAACAACAAAAAACAGGTTTCTAGTCCTTAAGTACTCAGTGAAGTCATGCTTGATAGGGTGTGGTGAAATTTCAGGAACTAATAAACTGGATAAGCAGAATTACTGGTAAAGATGTGGGACAGCAAATAGTCTACTCAGTGTAGCCCACCCCTTGTAAAAGCTGGACACAGGAAGCAAATTAAGAACACAGATGTGAATACTCTTAATTTGCACATAAATGCAAGTGATAATACTTCATATTTCCTGCTTAGTTTTAGTGGCACAGAATTTTGATTTCTTTAGCATAAGGTATAAACAACCCTGCCAATAGATTGTGTATAATGTGTAGACACTGCAGATATAAGCAGCATTCTGTCATCATGTGTACACAAAAGGTACAAAGCCTGTGAGGAGTATAATATTTTGTGATATAGAACTGCTGACTTCTGCATAATTTAGTAACCTTCAGAACTTGCTGACATTTAAATTGCTAAGACTTCCTACCAACAAAAAAGGCACATGTATGCTCCTCTTACCGGAACAGCGACAAAACTAATTTGGGGCTGCAAGAAGCTAAAACATTTTAATTTAGTAGACCACAAATGCTGGTCCTTTTGACTGAATCTCACATATAAAATGGGTATGATGGCCAAAAAAAGAGTGCAATGTTGCACTTCAACACAGCAGAGTAGAACAAAATCAATGTAATTATCAGTTCAGGAACTAAACCTGTACATTTTCTACACACATACTGTAGTAGTTGTGTTGACAGTCTCCTAGACAGGCACTGGTCACTCCTGGAGAACCTTCCAGAGAAAGAAAAATGCCATTCTAAAGGCCTCAAACCCTTCTTCATCTTATCACTATCATCCATTTCTCCCACTCGGGTAAGAATTGATTGGTCTAGGAAACCTAACCTCCCTCTGAAAAACACCTTGGCTCATCAAACCCCATCAAGCAAAAAACCCTATCCTATGCGTGTGGCTTTCATTTTCATTTTGCTTGAGCTGGAAAATCATGAAGACGTCTTCTGCATTTTGTAACAGGGTCTCCTATTTATTTTTCTATCCTGCCTAGAAAAAGTTTATGTGCTCTGTGGGTCAGTGGACACTTTCAGGATTCAACCCCAGCAGAAGGCAGGCAAATCAGGAATCCATGTCTTAAGATTTTGGTTCAGGGACTGAGGTCCCAAGACCTTTGTGAGTTTATAAAAGGAAAAGAAATAGGCAGCAGAACACATTTTCTGGCCTTCCTTGTGACATCTGTTTCTTCCCTGGGACCATGCTCTGGTGATCTGCAAAAAAACAGACATGCTACACTCCCACCGGAAAGCCTTCAGAATAAGCGGAAAAAAAAAACCTGGATGTTTTGTTCTATAAAAGAGATTTTAAAAAGGCCTGATAGCATGTTACTTGGGGGAGGAGGAACCCTACAAGCCAATGCGGGCGGACGGGGGGACTCCTTAGGGATGAAAGAGACTCTAAAAACCAGCAAGGCAGTAGTGCTATGTTCCTGCCCCAGTTTTCCAAATTTTGAAGCAACACCACTCTAAGTGTTACTAAGGTGCTCTGGGGATACACACAGTCTCCAAGGTAACTGCTAAGTCCTGGGATCTCACGTCCCATCTGAATGTGCCTCCATAAAGACTGCTCTTCCACAGGCCCAAAGTGAAGCAGGGGACCAGTTCCTTCAGCACTCGTCTTCCTGATAGATCTGCTCATCCAGTCCCTGGACCGAATCCAGTTCCTGAGATTCAAGATGCTCCAGGCGGTCGGTACGACTATTCATAATCTCATCCGGTGTTTTCATGAACCTACAAAAATACACAACACAAAAGATTTGATGGAACTGGGCAAAGTTCTCAATATGAATGGGAATGCTTATGGTCACATTTTAAACTGTATTAATGATATCATGATTTCAACTCACATGGGGCAATAGGTCATGTAGAATATTACTGTGTCTGCAAATTATAGGGGCAAATAACAGGGCACAAGCTGCCAGGATTGGCCTGACTGAAGAGTCTCTGAAAAGCATTTGCGGAATTGAACAGTCCTCTAGAAAACAGGTTGGAAACCACTTCTCTAACAAGCCTGCTATCTTCCACTAAAACTCAAGTTTTCTAATTCTGCCACCTCCAATATGGTAGCTTTGCTTGACATTATGTTTGAACTGGGCAAAATGTGCCCAATCTATCTCAGATGGGGGCAGAACATGTGGTTCCTCAAGCATCCATGACCTAACCCATTTTGGCCTTCAAAGGCAATTCATAATTTACACTCATCAACAACATTGCAAATGCAAGCAGGGCAAATGAGAACTTCTGCAGTGTATAGTATCAGACTGTGTAACGTGTGTTACTGTAACCCAACCTGGATGCAATTAATGCATGTGCACCATGTCAAATTCTGAATTCATCAGCAATGGCTGTAACTGGGACACTGGCCTCAACTGGCTGAAGTCAGTTCTGGCCACACGGTCATCCAAAATTGAATCCAAGTTTGAACCTGATTCCTCAAGGGTCACAGTACCCCACCTGAAAGAGTTATTATCTCTAGTATAGCACCCCTCTCCTTCCTGAGCAGGAGCATCTCAGTTCTGCCTGAACGAAAACTCAGCTTATTTTTGTTGTGTCCCATTAAGTTTTGTTTTGACATGGCAGCCTTAGGAATTTGTGACATCGAAAAGGTTCAGTTGCTAACAGTTCCAAACTCAGGGCTGTGGTATGCTTTATTGAGTCAATCAATCTCAGATTCAGTCCTCCTCTTCTCCTGCTGTCCTCAGCTCCTGCTAGCATTATTGTCTTTTCAAAACTCGGGTCTTTTTGTGATGCACCCAAAGTACAGCAAACACAGTTCAGTCGTTTTTGCTTTTTGAGAAAGATTTGGGCTTGTATTGATCTAGAATCTGCTTACTTGACATTCTAGCAATCCATGGTATCTGTAAAGCTCTCCTCCAATATCACATTTCAAATAAACCAATTTCTTTTTCCTATCAGCATTTTTCAGTGTCCAGCTTTCCATATATAGTAACCAGGAAAGCACAGCATAGATGATCTCATTCATTTATGCACACATATCTACGCCACCTTTCTCCCATAAAGGATGTCAAAGTGGTGCACAATAATTAAAATATAAATAAAATTAAAAGCACAATAAATCACTCAATTAAAAACAATTAAACATAGAATAGCATAAAAATATTCATCTAAGAACATTAAAACACCTTTAAAAACCACACTTAAAAATACAATACTTAAAATCACACAAAATGCCCCATCTAGTTTAAAGCTATTAAAAATAGAAACAGCTATGTATTGCCAAGACAATGTGAAGGAGGCAAACCTAGTCTCCTAAGGGCAGTCCACACTCTAGGAGTAGTCACAGGGAAGGCCTCTTGCATTTCAAACATGCCTGAGAGGGTGGCGAGACTGAGAGATCTTAAAAGCCAAGGAGGCTCATAAGGGTTGACATGGTCCTTTACACAGCATAGACCCAAGCTATATAGGACTTTATAGGTTGTAATACAGTACATCCTTACACTTGACAACCTTTTCTAGTTCCTTTGTAGCTATTTTTCTGTGAGTCTATCTTCTGATTTCTTGCTGGTAGTCTCGATTTGGACCAATGGTTAAATAGATTTTTTTTAAAATTTCTTCACTGTCAACATTAAAGTTATGTAATTATTCTGTGAACATGATTTTCTTCTTAGTGTTTCACTATAATTCTACTTTTGCACATTCTCCTTTAACCTTCCTCAGCAGTCATCTCAAGACATTGCAGCTTTCTGTCAGTAAGATGGTGTCATCTGCATATCTTAAATTATTTGTTTTTTCCACCAATTTTCACTCCTCCTTCATCCAAATCTAATCCAACTTTTTGTACATGCTTAATATATTGATTGAACAGAGAGAGAAATAAACTATACCCTTACCTGACACATTTGCTATTGAAAACCATTACGTTTTCCCATATTTTGTCCTAACAGGGGGCTCTTTTTCAGAATTGCAGATACTCATCAAAACAATCAAAAGTAGCGGCATTCTGAACAATCTGTATATTTTCAGAGTTTTGCTGTAATCTATAAAGCAGAGACTGATTTCCCTCTGAAATTCTTCAACATGTTCCAGTAGTGAATGCATATTTGCAATATGGTTTCCAGTGCCCCTTCCTTTTTTTGACTTGATCTTAAAAAAAAATTGCATTTCTTGCTCCACATATGGTAAAAACCTTTGTTGAAAAATCGTCAGTGCAACTCTCCTTGCATGGGAAATTAAGGTAATGTTCCTTTCATTATTACTTTCTTTGTTATCTCCCTTCTTTGGGATGGAAAGGTATATTGATTTCTAGTTTGTAGGGTCATTGTTTTCGTATGTCTTTCATATTTGCTGATATACTCTTCTTTTAATTTTGACAGTCAGTGTAGTTTGAAACAGGTCTATTGACAGCCTATCTACTATTGATATCCTGTCTACTTATTTCTTCCAACTCCTCTGAGAACCACTTGACTATGGCTCCTTACACAGACTGGATAGGTAAAATCAAACTTGCACTTGAGCCTTAGTTAGTCATGTCTGAAAACTAGTGGAGTCCACAAACACTGCTGCCTGAAGTTGGGGAGGCTGCTGCACCCCAGTAGCATTTTCACATGAATCAGAATTCCAGTTTAGGGGCACTGGCTCACAAGGAAAGACTGCCTAGGGACCTCTTTTGCATGATTAAAATTCCAATGAAAGGGGCAGAACTAGACGGCTCTCCTCAGAGCTGAATAGGGCTTAGGTCTCACCCTTCCAAGGAATAGGTATAGGAAAATCACTGCCCCATTTCACAACTTCTTTCGAACTTATCTACTAAGTAAAATTAGAAACAAAGAACAAAAATGAGGAAGTATTACCTGAACAAAAGCCTTTGTCCTGGCTCCTTTCTGATAATATTTAGTTTATAGTAGTGGCGCAGGGCTCTAGACATTTTCTCGTATGTCATATTTGTTCTGTTCTGTTGGTTTCAAAATAAAAAAAGGAAGCAATTATGCACTCATTAACAGGTAAAAGCAAAAAGAGCAAGGGGGTGGGGATGAGAAGTGGGATGGGCTATGTTAATTTTTTTGGTCTTTTTTTTTTGTTTTATTCTCCTGAAGTCTTTTCAGATTAAGCCTCTGGGAAATCCACAAGCACTGGACTGGAGGATCATGTTGCAAGGAACACAAAACCTTCTCTTCTCAGAAGGAAGCCGGAAATCTTCTGGACTACCAGACAGACTGTTCTAACTGGCAGGTTTTATAAGCAAATACCTGCTCCCTATAAGGAAATGGAAGATGAGCCCCTTCCCTTCAAAAATAACATTCCAGATTTTTGGTGGGGAGAGGGGAATGGTTGTCATCATGACCATGAAGCATATACAATGGAAGAATTTGTATATGGGGCAGGTAAAAAACAAAAAGAGAGGTTACTTACCTGTAACTCTGGTTCTTCAAGTGGTCATCTGGATTAACACTAATGGGTTTAGTCTGCGCTTGCTCAGAGGTTTTGGAATAGTCTACAGCTTTAGCATGCGCTTGCCAGGACCACCCCCCTAGAACATGTGGTCCGCCTGTCCTGGCAATCACCTCAGTTTCTAGAACAGCCCGCTGCTGCATCAAAGTGATACAAACGTGACTGATAGAGGGGAGGACAGGTGGGAAGTGTGAATTCACAGATGACCACTCAAAGAATAACAGCTACAGGTAAGTAACCTCTTTTTCTTCTTCGTGGTCTCTGTGAATGCACACTAATAGGTGACTAGCAAGTTGACTTACCAGAGGAGGGATGTCACGGCAGGACAGAAGAGAGAACGGCTCTACCAAATGCTGCATCTGTCTTGGCCCGAAGCTCTAGGTGGTAGTGGGTGGCAAATATGGAAAGAGTTGCCCACATTGCCACCTTACAGATGTCAGGAAGAGGCACTCCATGAAGGAAAGCTGTAGAAGACATGTAGCAATGGCTCTAGTAGAACGAGCCTTAATGCTCTCAGTTAGAGGCTTTTTAGCAAGCTTGTAGGCTAGAGTTATAACTGTGGTAATCCAGTGAGAGATGGTTTGAGGGGAGACACGGAGACCTCTGTGAGGAGAATGAGGTGTCACAAAAAGTCTCTTGGACTTATGAAAGGAAGAAGTCTGGGACACACAGAAGGCAAGGGTTCATCTGACATTGAGCGTGTGGAAGTATCATTCAAGGTCAGTAGTTGGAGACAGAAAAAAGGCAGGTAGAATAATCAGTTGCTAAATGTGAAAATCAGAGACAACCTTCGGGAGGAAAGAAACATCTGGGTAAAGTGTAACCTTGTCGGGGTGAAACTGTAGGAATGGAAGGTTGACTCAAAGGGCAGCAAGCTCAGAGGCCCTGCGAGCAGAAGTAATGGCCACGAGGAAGAGAAATTTAAAAGACAGGAGGGATTCGGAGATGGTCACCATTGGCTCAAAGGGAGGGAGCATAAGATGTTGAAGGACTGTATGAAGCGACCATTGCGGAGGCGGTAAGGAGTTAGGGGGTCACATATTAGAGACACCCTTGTCTGAGTGGACTTTTTATAGGCTTGAGGATCCAAACAAAATGTCTTCGTCTTCTTAGACTTGGTATGAGCAGGTACCGAAGCAGGTTTTGGTACCGGTGTCAACGGTCCCGAAGACTTGGATTTAGTGGCAGTCTTAGATTTCAATTTGGAAGAGACAGATCCTTCTATAGGGGAGATGGTAGAGACCCTAAGAGATGTATTTTCATGTTGAACGGTTTCAGTGGCATCCACAGTGGTCTGTGCCAGTAGGAGGGACCATTCCCAGAGAAAGGAACTCAAGTGTTGCTGTCTAAGCTTAAGAGCCTGCTTGGTAAAATTTTTGCAATTGGAACAAGAAGATGGTAGATGTGATTCTCCCAGGGGAAAAAAAGAGAGACATAAATTGTGTCTGTCTGAGAGTAGGACCTTGTTTGGGCACAAAGCACAGCGCTTAAACAGGGCTACAGGTGCCATAAAAGGTGTCAGGGAGGGGGGAAAGGGGGGCAATCAGAAGAAGGAGAAACAGATTGAAAAGTCTCTTACTGTAATCCTTTGTATTTTAAATGTTTTTAGGAAAAATGAAGAAAGGCAAGCGGAGAGCTCGAGGAAAAATGAAGAAAGGCAAGCGGAGAGCTTGAGGAACTGAGATTATTGCCAGGAAGGGCAGATGACATGTACTAGGGGGGTGGTCCTGGCAAGTATGGCAGACCACATGTACTGGGGGGCGGTCCTGGCAAGCACATGCTAAAGCTCTAGAATATTCCAAAACCTGCATTAGTGTGCATTCACAGAGACCACAAAGAAGAAACAAAAGTATTATGGCATGTTTGAGACAAACAAATCTATTTTAACATGAGCTTTTTGGGGATCTGTAGTCTATTTCTTCTGAGACACACTCCACAAAAACTCAATAAATGTATCAGTCTCCAAAATGCTACAATCCTTTCATTTTTGTTCCTTTTTGGAAACAGAGGAAAATTTGTACACAGTAATGACTTTTGAGTGCACCTCAATTCTCCACATGCTTTCGGTATACAGTACATTTTCTTCTAAGAACATGATGCTCTCTTTCCCTCTCTTTCTGTTTACAGCTGCTGAGTTTGTTTAAAAAAACTTGGCAAGTTAGAAACACCTGATGTACCACAGTTAGGCTGCTGCTCTTTACCTTATGGTTCCCCCACAGCCTGGCGAGCCCATTAGGATCCACTATCCGGAATATTTTGGATTCCCTGTCCTCCCATCGGATGAAATTTTCGTACCGGCTGTCTGACAGCAGCTGATAGACATAATCCCAAAGGAGCCTGCAGTCTGTGAAGAGAAGGACACAACAGTTTTTAGAAGACCTCCAACCTGGAATGATTAAGGGCCATTTGCTATGACTTCAGTCACTAAAAAGAGTAATGCTGACAATTCAGTTTTTGGGGTAAGAATTGCCTTGGGTGATCTGACATAAATCCACCCAGTCTCAACATTTCATTTCTAGAAGAAGCCACCCGAAGGGGAAAGAAGGGAATGGCCTCTCCCTATTGTTTGTCCCCAGGATTTAATACTCGGAGACAGAAGAGTGTGTTGCAATAACATGTTGCAGCATGAGTGTTTTTTGCTGAGAGTCCAGTGACCTTATCTCCACACAGGCCATAAAGCCCTGCCTCAGTCAGTTTTGTGACCAAGGAACCTGCTCAACTGTCATAATCCAGCTCTGGAAGATCCTCCTGATCCTAATTAAGTTTTTGTTTTGTCTTGTGACACCTATGTGCTAGCTGCCCAGTCCCAGCTATATCAGCTTTGATTTCTGCACTGATGACTCTGGGCAGCTCTCAGGCCCAACCATGGAACTTTTACATAGCTTCTCCTTATGAACCAGTGACCTTCACTGAGCTTATTCAGACAATTGATTATTTTCCCTTGCATTTTAGAAGTAACTTGGTGCCTCTTGTTTTTCTGTCCCAGACATTCCATTCCATCCTCTTCTGGTGCACAGTAATCCATTTTCTCCCTAATGACTCAGTGAACATCCCATGCCATTGAGTTATTATGGGGCCATCAGGGTGGAGGGAGCTGCCTTTTAGGGTACTTCCTGGAGATTTTGGTTTTATTTGCTTGTTTGTATCTGCAACATAAAACTTAGGATTACCCAAGGTAATGTGCATATGTATCATTTTGGAAGACTTACATTAGGGGGAGGGGAAGGGTTACAGTATGGGTTACTGCGAATTTCTATTCTCAGGTTCTCTCAATTATATCCTTTTAATCCATTTGCCTTTTCTATCTGAAGGTTATTCCTGGCAGCAGGATGGACATTATTTGCACCCAGCCCCCATTACATGACAATATTTGATTTTTCCATTGGTATATATACGAGCAGCTCTTTCTAAACTGGGGAGTGTTTAAAAATGAGGTATCAACCCAAGAATATGGTACTGCCTGTGCTTTTTGTCTCCAGATCTGTTCCTACTTCTTCCCTGCTTATCCGCTTCTCTTCAGAGCTACTGAGGTAGAAGTGCCCTCACTTCAGACAGCAGTGTTTTCTTGGATTTGTCTAATCAGTTTGTTCCATAATTCTTGTTGCTAGAAATTATTGTGTTTTAGTTATGTTCCCAATCTCTATTTACTTGTACAGTAATGTGATAACAACCAATACAACCCCTTATTATACTTTCTCTTCAGGTTGCCTCCTTGAGTTGCTTCTTCACTGCAAAATGACTATCAGAATTCTGACTAGGGGATACAGTTAGCATGTCAGTACTACATTATTATTCTTGGGTTTTGCATTCTTAGGCACAGTGGTCAGGTGATTTAGGACTAAAATGCCCTTTCTGACATACAATTTCCTTATGCCACCTAAGGAAACCTTGACTATAGCCTAGTCCACCAACTCCCCAAACCAATTACTGAAGTGTTTGGAAGAAAGGGAGAGCAGGGTTATAATGAAAAATACTATATACAGAGACAGTCAACCCCATGTGTATCCACCCACAGCTAAAATAACTCTCATTAGCCCACAAAACATCTAGGACAGCTGGGGAAACAGGAACTAAAGGAGTTGGAGGTAAGGAGCATAAACCTCAGGTGCCACACTTCTGTTTAAATCATGTACCTGTGCAATCAGTTGACTGGTAGTACTCAAGTCAGCTAGGCAGCAGGTAGGGGAAGTATGATGAGATTCTAGCATGTGGAAGGTGTTTGAACCTTCCCGTCCCCCTAATGCTAAAATCATAGAATAATGAAGTTGGAAGGGGCCATCGAATCCAACCCCCTGCTCAGCGCAGGAATACAAATCAAAGAATATCTGCTGTGGTTGTCTCGATTTCTCTTGAATGCCTGCAGTTTTGGAACACTCATCACCACCTCTTGAGGTAATTGGTTCCATTGCTGTACAGCTCTAACAGTTAGGGAGCTTTTCCTTATATCTGGCTTCCTGAAACTTCAGCCCATTGTTGAATGTCCAGCACTCTGGAATGATCAAGAACAGAGCCTGCCCCTCCTTTGTATGACAGCCTTTCAAGTACAGTATTTGAAAAGTGCTATCATATCTCCCCTCAGTCTTTTCTTAAGGCTAAACATACCCAGTTCTTTCAGTCTTTCCTCATTAGGCTTGGTTTTTAGCCCCCCGATCATCCTTGTTGCCCATATGCATCCACTAGCCCTAAGAATTTGAGGACCTCTGCCACAGAGCATCCAAAATCAGAAGGTAGATGCCCAAGAATTTGACCAAGTCCAAAGACACAGCCCAGGGCCACTGGCTGAAGCAGTGTGTGGAGATTTCTACCATTCATTCTGCAAAAATATGCAAGATGACTGAAATGGCTAGAAAGTGCATTTTAAGGCACAAATCCTAATACCTAATACTGTACTGCACTGAAACATTCCACTGCACCAAGAGTTAGTGATACAAGTACTCTTGTAAGCATATATGAAATTATTTCCTAAACCTTTTATCTCAGGGCTGAACAGCAACTATGTATCCGAAGAAACATAGAGCTGAAAAATAAACCTCTGTATATTATTCATGCTTTATACACAAGAAGGGACCATGACATGATTACCGAGTAGCAGGTTTGTGTTGTCAGCCCACTGCTTGAATCATAAATCCTCCTTCCCATTTCCACACATTAGGTGGCAACATCTTGCAGGGACTAATCTGATCTGGCTGAAGCAAGTAACCATAAACCAGGCAGGCCAGTAGCTGCTACAATCTAGGGCTGGAGATGGCAATATGAAGCCATCCATTCAGTCTACCTCTCCTAAGTTCTATACTCTGTCCAAAGAGTGTAGCTTTCCTTTTATAGGACTGACCCTTTAACAGTGGAGGTTTCTCCTTGAGGCTTCTCACTGCGCAGATGTGCTTACTTTCCCCTTCCTTCTCATTTAATGCCAACTTTTGGAGAGAGGAAGGGAAGCAGAAAGCTGAAACAATACTACTCTTCCTATGCATTACTATTTAACATTGTAATGCAGGGAATTGAAATAAGAAATTAAGAATTCCAGAACTGCAACTGAGGATTTTGCAAACAAAATCCAACAGAGTGTCAGACTGCAAATGCACAAATTTTACTTCGAAAGGGGTGCTGGGGAATTTCCCACTTTATGTTCAATATGTAACAGCTTCATAAAGTAGAAGAAAACAACAGAGTCCTGCACTGCTCTGATTGCAAGGCCTTTAAAAAGTTTAGAAACAGAATGGGGGGGGGGGAAGCTCCTTCATTTTTTGGCCACTTTGTAAGGTAAACACTGTTTGTTCTGCTGTACAATTGAGTAATGTGTGAAATGCATCACTACGGGTGGGGATCTCAAATACAACATTGTTGCATTTTCTCAGAACCTACAAGGTTGTACTCTTCCATCTCAAAATGCAATTTGGCATAAGTAAGATCATTATACTGAATTGCATCCAAAACCTGAATTTTCATTTCGCTTTCTAATGATAAAATAGTTCCTACGTATATCCTATGTGCTGTGATCCTATTTGGTTAGCTCTGCCAGTTCTTCCTGAGGACTTGGAAACTCTGAAATGGCATGATAGATGGTAGGAGTGTTAGGGAAATAAAACTTACACGCACAAGTGAAAGCACATTTTGGTGAGAGCCTTTGATGCCACTGATGTCAATGTCAGCCAGATGAACAGGTAGGGGCAGTAAGGACCACTAACCTCTACATGTGAACTACATGATAGTGTTAATCATTTCTACTTAAAATTATTTTAATGATCATTAATTCAGAGATGGAAGGGATGGGAGTAGAAAACACAGAATGGCTATGCATCACATTCCACATTTGGGGGTGGGTGGGAACAGAGACATACAACCGCCGGGCATGGAAAGTGAAAGATATGGCAGAAGTAAGTGCTTCCTTTTTTAAAAATTGTTTGTCTGTCAGGGAATCCAGTTAGAGAACTCATACTGTGCTTGAGCCTTGAAGCCAAAAACAACAAACAAGGAGGAGTTTCCCTCACCAAACAGGTACTGTATTTGCAATTCAGATGTCACATGCCACGTTCTCATTCTCTTCTCCTCTGATGACTCCACACTGTGTTCTACCACTCCAAGAGAGCCTAAACTACACGTCTTACATAGAAAGCACAAAATCTGACATTGATGCTATTTGCCTACATTTCTATATTCTGAAGTATGATTGGTTGAAGTGGTTTTGTCAAAATAATTAACATTTTGCTTATGAGCATAATCTAGACAGAGTTAAACAATTTTAGTTAGTTTTAATGACAAAATCAAGCATGTACACCAGCCTCTCCTTCTGAAATCAATGGGATTAATACAATAGTGGAGATCCATGAATCAACCTCCTTAAAAATATCAACTAGGTGGGAGAACTTTTGACACTGGGAGAGAATTTACTCTTACCCGTTGCTGTTTGCTTAACCTTAACCAGTCTTCCCAACCTATGCCCAAACATTTTCTCTAATGGGACAAAATGTGTGTGTGCGTGCACATGCAAAGTTTGTTTGTGTGTGGGGGGGGTGAAGACTGCTTGGCGATTTTTTTGTTTGAAGAGATAGGAAATAAACTCTGAGAGGCTATGTCAGGGGGCATTTCCACCCATCCACCCCACACAAATCATTTGCATGCTGCTCAAGAATGCTTGTCTGGCATGAATAGCAACCATGATATGAAACTTGGGGACACAGCATGATGAAGATGGAGAATATAATTGAAAGCTAGCATATACTTGATTTTTTTTCAGTGGTCCAATAAATGTATTGCCAGCTTCTGCATTTGTATTGGGTTTTTTGGGGGAATGGGGGAGACAGACCATATAGCCTTTTTCTGATTTTTTTCTATATATCTGTGTTC